AGGGTGTTTCTTGATTAACAAGATGTTGGCAATATTAATAGGCCAGTGGAAAGAACAGAAAAGCACAGGTTGCTAGGTAACTTAACCACTAGTTCTGGCTTAGGAGTTTGCTAAATGCATTTCTTGGTAATAGGGGAAAACTTGTTTCTAATGTGTGGATGGATTCATTGTTTCTGATTTTACAGGAGAGACTTTACTCAAAGGTTATTGTTGTCTTAAGGCTTTCATAACTGAGCCTGCCTAAAGGCCCACATGTTTGCTCCCAACAGCCTTCCTTAATGTAAGCACTCACGTTTGTGGTTCTTTGAGACTGTTTCCTGTCTGCTAGGAAAACTGGACAGCTACATGTAAGTGAATGAAACTACATTATTGTCTAATTCCATACAAAAGTAAACTCAAAATGGATCAAAGTCCTAAATATAAGTTATGAAACTATAAAACTCTTAGAAGAAAACATAGGCAAAAATATCTTGAATAGAAACATGAGCAACTTTTTCTTGAATGCATCTCCTCAGGCAAGGGAAACAAAATAAAAAATGAACAAGTGGGATTATATCAAACTAAAAAGATTCTATACAGCAAAGGACACCATCAGCAGAACAAAAAGGAATCCTACCGTATGGGAGAATATATTTATAAATGACATATCCGATAAGGGGTTAACATCCAAAATATATAAAGAGCTCACATGCCTCAACACCTAAAAAACAAATAACCTGGTTAAAAAATGGGCAGAGGATCTGAACAGACACTTCTCCAAAGAAGAAATTCTGATGGCCAACAGGCACATGAAAAGGTGCTCCACATCGCTAATCATCAGGGAAATGCAAATTAAAACCACAATGAGATATCACCTTGCACCAGTTGGGATGGCCTACATCCAAAAGACAACAACAAATGTTGGCAAGGATGTGGAGAAAGGGGAACTCATCTACACTGCTGGTAGGAATGTAAATTAGTTCGACCATTGTGGAAAGCAGTATGGAGGTTCCTCAAAAAACTAAAAATAGAAATACCATTTGACCCAGTAATTCCAGTCTTAGGAATTTACATGAAGAAAACAAGATCCCTGATTCAAAAAGACATATGCACCCCTATGTTTATTGCAGCACTATTTGTGATAGCCAAGATATGGAAGCAACCTAAGTGTCCATCAATAGATGAGTGGATAAATAAGATGCAGCACATATTAAAAATGGAATATTACTCTGCCATAAAAAGAAAAGAAATCCTACCATTTGCACATGGTAGAAGCTAGAGGGTATTTAACTCAGTGAAATAAGACAGGTGGAAAAAGACACATACCAAATGATTTCACTCATTTGTGGAGTATAACAACAGAGCAAAACTGAAGGAACAAAATAGCAGCAGAATCAGACTCCAAAAAGAGACTAGCAGTTACCAAAGGAAAGGGGTGGGGAGATTGGGTGGGGAGGTAGGGAGAAGGGGATTAAGGGGCACAATAATTGCAATCACAATATAGGTAGGTCATGGGGAAGGCAGTACAGCATGGAGAAGGCAAGTAATGACTCTATAACCTCTTACTACGCTGATGGACAGTGACTGCAATGTGGGGTGATGACTTAATAATATGGGTAAATATCGAAACCACAGTGTTGTTTATGTGAAACCACCATAAGATTGTATGTCAATGATACTTTAATAAAAAAAAGACTGTTTCCTGTCATTATTTTTGGCAATTTCTCAAAGACACCACTATATTTTCCCCTTGAATTCAAATTTCTGTGTTATATAGAAAGCATCTACACAAACTCAGGCTGAAACAATTAAGCTTAATCTCATCATTGGCGTTTTACAGGTTGTGAAAGCAGGCTTGTGTGATCTTGCTGTGTGATCCCACATGCACTTCATCTGAAATACTATTTCCCTTTGGGGCAGTAGATCGGCAGAAGAAGGGAGAAGTCCCGACCAGGAGCTTGGATCATGGCTCTGTAGATCCTCAGTCTTTAACCAACTCAGACTGGAGAGTCCCTGCTCCCTGACTCCCAGGCATTCAGAGAACTCCATCATCCATTGGTGCATCTTATTTTCTTAAGAAAAAAAATATGAAAATGCAAAAGAAAAGAGAAACAATAGTTACAGAGAAATCTGCTTTTATAACAAGCCAAAAGAGATTTTGATGCAATACCAAAAAATTTTGAAGTCAGCATAAAATGAAGATAAACTTAAAAGACACACAGCAAGATAAACAGAGTTAGCTAACTGATGGAGAAACAAGTGAAAATACATCAGAGAGACATAGGGCACTTTGCAAAAACCTTGGAGAAAACAACTGTAAACAGAAGACTGCTTTTAAGCTGAATCCTCAGAAGTATGCTAGTTTCCAAAATGTCTCAGGTAAACAGAGGCAGCTCCCAGAGATGAGACGGTCAACCCAGATGCCATGCCCCTCGATGGTGAATGAACACTCAAGGGTTATGGAGTACATTTTAGAATATGAAGTTTCTTCTGGATTAGAAGGCTTTTCCTGAAATCCACTGACCAGGTCGAGGTCACCAGTGAGCTCTTCAGTGTCTTGCATCCAGGGCTCCTTTTATGACATTTCCATTTCCCCCAGATACTCACCACAAGCGCATCCAAGGATCCAAGCAGGAGATAGTAAAATACCAACAAGACCAGAAGCATCTGAGTGAGGTAACTCCTACAATTCTCGCCAGAGATGTGCACAAGAGGAGCAAACTTTGATGCATCTTTTTGAAAGTAAATAGAAAAAGGAAAACTGCAGGAAATCAACTCCAAATTACAACCTTCAGTTGAACAACAAAAAAACTGGTCTTACAGGGGTGAGTGAGTGGAATAGTAAGTAGAAAGGCTGGAAAGATTTGAGGGAAGACAGGAAGGCAGTGTGCAAACAGGCTGGAATGAGGACGGAACTCCGGCCATAACCAGAGACAAGTGCAGCACACTCCTCATATTCAAACAGTACTCTACCCTCTTAGCAAGATTTTCTATTCAAAAAATTTCCAAAGGAAATTAACCAGGTTTATCCATGTGACATTTGATAAACAGTTATAAATGATTTATAAACTGACTAAACATTGGGGTTACCTGGAGAACTCTGAAAAAATGCTGAATCCCAGACTCCCTCCTTCAACCTAAGGCCAGGAAGGTGGCTCCAAGGCCCAGCCAGGGAGGGACTCCGGCTACAGACCCCTGCCCTCAGGCCTTGGAGAATAAGACAGGAAAGTCAGTAAGGCTCCATTTTCCAGAGCAACTGAATTATGAATTGGGTTAAAGCAATCTATCTTATTTTACTCCTTTGTGGAATCCACCTTATCAGCACAAATGGTGTGTTGTTTTGATGTTCTTCAGGCTCAGTCTAAAATTGCTTTGAACATACCAGGCCTCTGGAATGAAATTCTCTCCCTGGGACTTGAGCTGGGCTCTCAGCTAAGCAAGCAGTGATGTTCTCTCTGCTCAACTGCCCTAGGAGGAAACTGACCTTAAGGTAGGGCAGTGGCAGGACTCTTCAGACACCTTTAGAGTGTCTTGGAAAAATGACCACAGAAACTAAGTAGGCTCCTTGAATGTGTGGGGTGCTTCCCTGCAGCCTGCCTGGGCATACTGTGTCTGTGTGGCACATCTGGTCCCGCCAATGAGAAATTCTTCCTGTGTTTGGGCTGTGCTGATTCCAGAAGAAAGCAAACAGACTTCAGCTAACTTCAAGATTCCAGCCAACAATTCTAGATTACTGTTTGCCCATGATAGTTGTAAATTCAGAGCACCACAGAAAACACTGTCACAGGCCCTGTAGAATACCTAGTATAAACTGGATGTGGCCAAATGACATGGCCAGTGCCACTCAGCCAATTAGAGATCTGGGACAAAAGTCACATGTCATGACTCCCAGGCTGGTGGCCTCTCCACATCTCAGGGGAATTGGTATCACGTATTCCTCTTTTTGGAAGCAGATTCAATGATCAAATTCGTTGACAGTAATCAAATATAAAAATTTTAAGCCAATTAAAGAGACCAGAGATTTCCCATTCTGAACAGGCTGAGTCTAGCAGGAATAATGTGATTTGTTCAACAAATGACTGTCTGAAATCGTAAAAGAGTGAGAGCATTTTCCTCTCTGAGGTGAATTGGTGCTTGAAAATCTGTGGCTGACCCTGGAGTCTCTAGGTAATGAAACAGCTTGGAGGGGCATATTAAGGGAAATGCTCTGACTGTGGCCCCCGCTGAGAGGGGCTGCGAAGCTTTACTGCAACCTGTTCACACAGGGTCACATCGGCATGAGGCCCCACAGCCTTGTGCACAGATTTCCAACCAGAAGATCATGCTTCTGAGCACAAGACAATTAAACTGGAGCAGGGACATGGGGGAGAGCCCACTCATGGGAACTGACTGGGCTTGCACTGGCTAAAAGAATACATAAGGAAGCTCATTATTAAAATACATAAGACGTTTCCACAGAGTTGTTTGAACAACTTTGATTTCTAAACATTATCAACTGTATTTTAATCGGTAACCCAAGAAGCAGAGAGGAATACAGAGTCAGGGAAGGAGTATATACTGTTCTCATGCTCCCAGACTCCCACCGTCTTCCCCCCTTGCACTGCACAGTTTCTACCCTGACTTTTACCATCTCACACATCACAGGATTTTTTAAATTTTGATACACTGGGCACATAAATATGCAATCCAGCTCAGAGCTCATAAAGGCAACCATCCAAATTGGGCCCCCATCTCCCCATAATTCCAACAGCTAATGAACTGGTTAGGCTCACACAGCTTGACAAACATTTGTGCAAATTTATATTCTCCGAAGCCTTCAACATGCACACCAAGATAAAACAAAGCTTTAAGTACAGTAGCCAGATAATCACAAGGAATCCAGATTCTCAACACTTACATTCTAAAGGAAATTTTAGGATTTGAATTTAAGCAACAGAGAGTCTATTTGATTGGATATTACATCAAACTAATGGCTGTCCTAGAATGAGAATCTTCTTTAGCATATGCATGTGGACACTTACAGACAAGAAAGACATATCAGGGTTTTTCAGACTTTGACTCAAATTCCAAATGAAGGCCCTCTTTTGTGGACTATAAGATGGAACAACTGTGGAAAAGAGGAGAAAATTCCCTTTGGTTAAAATCATCCATAACATAATCTCATGGTTAGCAAAATAAACCATAATTAGGAAGCACAGAACATACAAAAGTTTTGGTTTAAACATAGGAGGAACATCTTAGTTTTATTGCCACTCCCTGCCCACCTCCAGTCCCTGCCCACCAATATATGTGGCTGAAGTTCCACACTGTAAAAATAAGAAATGTGACCACTTTATGAAGAGAGATGAAAAGGGGAAAGGGAAATTTGAATTCTGGAGAAAAGATTGTTGGTCTTGAAAACCAAGTTTAATTGCTTGCCTCAAATAGGGAACATTTTATCACTATGGGTGAAGTGACTTTAACTCTTTATAGAAAGGTATTATTTAAAGACATTCTTTTATCATGCTTTACACTATAGTATACAATTAATGAAGAAGCCTGGAATAAAGTATAAGTTTTCAGAAGTGTGACTCACAAATTTCAGAATTTGTGAAGGAAACTGCATTGATATGGAAAATTGCAATTATCTCCGTTTTAAAGGCTGACTCAAGGAACTTCTTTCCTTATCTAGAAAATTTCCTTAGATTCTTATTTCACATGCCACTGAGTATATGGTGATACGCTATATATCACGTGGAATTAAACAAACTTTAATGTCTAGGTCACACAAATGAACATTTTCAGTACATGATAAATATAGGACATTCCTGCATAGATTTGCAAATGATGAAAAGTTAGAAGCAGGAAGGGTAAATGAGAATTAATAATTGTAGCCAGGTGTTTTATTAGAAGCTTTGTATATATTATGTATATATAAAGAGATAATACATAAGAGACTCAGGTGTAGTAGAATGTGTAATATGTATATGTAATATACCTATGATATGTGTATGTAATATACTTATGTATATGTGTTACTATGATATGTATATATGATATGCATTTTAATCAGCTTTACACATTTTATATTATCATATCTATTATATTTTATGTTACCATATATATGACCTCAATTATCCCTCACAATGACTATAGCAGGATTTAATCCCCATTTTATAGTTGAGGAATCTGAGGCTCAGAGAGAAAGTTAATGACTTAAACACCATCACACAACCAGTGAAAGTCTGGTCAGTATTAAAACTCAGGTCCACCATGCAACAAAGTGGATGCACAAGCTGGCCTCAGGTTGCATATTTATTGCTAGCTTTTAGGTGACTGTCAGCCCCAGAGTAACTACTTCCCATGAAGCTGCCTTGTGTCAAGCACCACCACACGTTCACAGTAGACAGCAGATCATTACTGCAAGTTAACATAAAGCCAGTTGTTATGGGGGGCCTTTCCAGTATTATCAGGGCTTCCAGGCTCCCAAAACTTCAAGCTCAACCATAAAGATGGGGCAGCGGCATGTCTGCCCATGTCAAGCCTGGAACCCAACTGAAGCCCACTTCAGCCTCCAGCTCTGCATCCCTCAACACTACCATCTCTAAAACGGGAAGTGTGTGCCTGTTCCTTCCTCAACCACTCAGTTCAGAGGTGCTTCAATACCAGTGTTTGATTATTTTGTCTCTGAAAAATATTTTTTTTCCTCCAGCCTTTTTGCCAAGGACAGCAGCATTTTATTAAAGAAGCTAAATACCTCCAGAAAGAATGCCAAAGGCAAATATTAGCAAAGGTGTCTAGCATGGTTTTCTTGCATTCCCAAATAATGTTACTCTTAAAAGCAGAAAAGAGTAGAATTAATTTGGTTTTGCTTAAAAATCAGATCCAGAATGGGTGGAACCAAGATGGCAGCATGAGTAGAGCAGCGGAAATCTCCTCCCAAAACCACATATATTTTTGAAAATACAACAAAGACAACTCTTCCTAAAAGAGAGACCAGAAGACACAGGAAAACAGCCTGACCACATCCACACCTGTGAGAACCCAGCACCTCACGAAGGGGGTAAGACACAAGCTCCAGCCAGGCGGGACCCAAGCACCCCACACCCCAGCTCCGGGCTGGAGAAGAGGATTCAGAGTGGGGAGGGAGAAGGAGCCCAGGACTGCTAAACACGCAGCCCTAGCCATCCACACCTCCAGCACAGACAGAGTGCATATGTGGGGTCCTGGATAATAGGGAAACAGGTTGGTAAGACCTGTGAGTGGGTCCCCACAGCCAGTGCCCTGGGGACAAAGAAAAGTGAGGGCTTTTTGGAAGTCTTAAAGGGATAGGGACCCCACCACCAGATGGAAGAATCCTGGGAAACTTAGTCCAGCAGCAGGGAATCTGGAGAACTCTGGGCACTCTAACCCCCTGGGCTGCAGGGAGCACAGAAGCCCCTCATGGAGATAAATAGCCTCCCGGCCATTCCCCCTCCAACACAGCTCCACCATGTCAGAGCAGCAGCTCAAGGCAGGTCACGCCCACAGCAACAGCGGAGATAAATTCCATAGCAGCTGGGCAAGAACCAGAAGCCCTGCCTGCGCGCATATGCCCAGCACAAGCCACTAGAGGTCACTGTTCTCATAGAGAGGAAGGCCACAAACCAACAAGAAGGGAAGTTCTTCCAGCCATCACTCGTGCCAGCTCTGCAAATTATCTCTATCGTCATGAAAAGGCAAAATTACAGGCAGACAAAGATAACAGAGACAACACCTGAGAAGGAGACAGACCTAACCAGTCATCCTGAAAAAGAATTCAAAATAAAAATCATAAACATGCTGACGGAGATGCAGAGAAATATACAAGAGCTACGGGATGAAGTCCAGAGGGAGATTACAGACATCAGGAGGGAGAATACTGATGCCTGGAAGGACATTACAGAAGTGAAACAAACTCTGGAAGGATTTATAAGCAGAATGGATAAGGTGCAAGAGGCCATTGATGGAATAGAAACCAGAGAACAGGAATGCATAGAAGCTGACACAGAGAGAGATAAAAGGATCTCCAAGAATGAAACGATATTAAGAGAACTGTGCGACCAATCCAAAAGGAACAATATCTGTATTATAGGGGTATCAGAAGAAGAAGAGAGAGAAAAAGGGATAGAAAGTGTCTTTGAAGAAATAATTGCTGAAAACTTCCCCAACCTGGGGGAGGAAATAATTAAACAGACTACAGAAATAAACAGAACTCCCAACAGAAAGGACCCAAGGAGGACAACACCAAGACACATAATAATTAAAATGGCAAAGATCAAGGACAAGGAAAGAGTTTTAAAGGCAGCTAGAGAGGAAAAGGTCACCTATAAAGGAAAACCTATCAGGCTATCATCAGACTTCTCAACAGAAACTTTGCAGGCATGATAAATTTAACACAATGAAACAGAAGGGCCTTGAACCAAGGATACGGTACCCAGTATCCAGCACGATTATCATTTAAATCTGAAGGAGGGTTAAAACAATTTCCAGACAAGCAAAAGTTGAGGGAATTTGCCTCACACAAACCACCTCTACAGGGTATTTTAGAGGGAAGGCTCTAGATGGGAGCACTCCTAAGGCTAAACAGATGTTACCAGAGAATATAAAATCACAGCAAAGAAAGCAGACCAACCAAATAGTAACTAAAAGCAAAAAATAAAATCAACTACCCACAAAAGCAGTTAAAGGAAACATGAAAGAGCACAGAATAAAACACCCAACATATAAAGAATGGAGGGGGAGGAAAAATAAGGGAGAGAAATAAAGAATCAACAGACAGTGTTCATAATAGCTCAATAAGTGAGTTAAGTTAGGCAGTAAGATACTAAAGAAGCCAACCTTGAACCATAGGTAACAACAAATCTAAAGCACGCAATGGCATTAAGTACATATCTTTCAATAATCACCCTAAATGTAAATGGACTGAATGCACCTATTAAAAGACACAGAGTAATAGAATGGATAAAAAAGCAAGACCCATCTATATGCTGCTTACAAGGCACTTACTTCAAACCCAAAGACATGCACAGACTAAAAGTCAAGGGATGGAAAATGATATTTCATGCAAACAACAACTTGAAAAAAGCAGGTGTTAGAGTACTAGTATCAGACAAAATAGATTCAAAACAAAGCGAGTCACAAGAGATAAAGAAGGACATTATATAATGAAAAAGGGGTCTATCCAACAAGAGGATATAACCATTATAAATATATATGCACCCTATACAGGACCACCAATATATGTGAAACAAATACTAACATAATTAAAAGAGAAAATAGAATGCAATGCATTTATTTTAGGAGACTTCAAAACACCACTCACTCCAAAAGACAGATCCACCAGACACAAAATAAGTAAGGACACAGAGGCACTGAACAACACACTACAACAGATGGACCTAATAGACATCTATAGAACTCTACATCCAAAAGCAACAGGATACACATTCTTCTCAAGTGCACATGAAACATTTTCCAGAATAGACCACATACTAGGCCACAGAAAGGGCCTCAGTAAATTCAAAAAAATTGAAATCCTATCAACCAACTTTACAGATCACAAAGGTATAAAACTAGAAATAAATTGTACAAAGAAAGCAAAAAGGCTCACAAACACATGGAAGCTTAACAACATGATCCTAAATAATCAATGGATCAATGACCAAATTTAAATGGAGATTCAGCAATATATGGAAACAAATGACAACAACACAAAGCCCCAACTTCTGTGGGACACAGTGAAAGCAGTCCTAGGAGGAAAGTATACAGCAATCCAGGAATACTGAAAGAAGGAAGAACAATCCCAAATGAATAGGGTAACATTACAATTATCGAAATTGGAAAAAGAGGAACAAATGAGGCCGAAAGTAAGCAGAAGGAGGGACAATAATAAAGATCAGAGAAGAAATAAATAAAATTGAGAAGAATGAAACAATAGAAAAAAATCAATGAAACCAAGAACTGGTTCTTTGAGAAAATAAACAAAATAGATAAGCCTCTAGTAAGACTATTAAGAGAAAAAGGGAATCAACACACATCAACAGAATCAGAAATGAGAAAGGAAATATCAAGATGGACCCCACAGAAATACAAAGAATTCTTAGAGAA